TGGGCCCCCCGGTGAGCGGGCCTCCCGTCGCCACCTCCTCCGTGCAGATGGGCGCCGTAGACCTCCTCGGAGGTGGCTTGGACAGCCTGGTACGTCGCAGCCCCACGCCCTCCTTTCCCCCATGCGCGGCTGCCCTGTGCTGGGTTTGATGCTGGCTCCTGTCTGGAGCTCCTGGGGACAGAATGGACTTGTCTGCCCAGAGATGTCAGGGCTAGTCCTTCCCTTCTACAGCTGGTGAAGACACACAGCACTGCACCCTAATTTATCGTGTCCTCATCAGATGGCTGGAGCAGGGCAGGGGGTTAATGCTCCCGACCACCTTTTCTCTCCGTCTGGGGCCTGCAGCAAGACTTAGATGGGGCCAAGACGCCCTGAGTTGCTCTGTAGTAGCTGCAGCTTCCCATTGTCCCACTGTCCCACTGTCCGTGCTGTGCTGCAGGGGTGACTGCTCTGCCTGGGTCCCCCTCTGAACCCTCCAGCTGCATGAAACGGGGACGTGCCCCAAGCTGCTGCGGGGCTGGGCCGAGACGTGTCTGCTCCCAGCCCATGGGGCGCCTTAACGGGTGTCCCCTGCGCCGGGAGATGTGGAGGTGACAGCTTGTCCTCCTGGGAATGCAAACCAAGAAGCGGTTTGGCCATAGGGTGAGGAGGGATGGAAACCTCTGCCTAGCTGGGACCACCTGCCCCGCAGGTGCCAGTGGTGGTCTTGGCTCTCCAAGGGGAAAGGGTCTGGAGCTTTCTCCATTGCTCCTAAAATCCAGCAGATATCCCCCAAGGGGAGGCAGCTCTCTCTTTGCCTGCTGCCTCTCCTGGTCCCTAAGCCCCCAGGTGCCACCCTGGCTCTCTGTGGGCTCGCAGGGTTTGGTAACGGGCTGAGTGCAGGGAGGAGAGACCCCGGTCGTGCTCTGTCCCCTGGCACCAGGCCAGCCACAGGCAGACAGATGGATGTGTTGGCAGTGCGGCAGGACTAACCTCTCTTCCCTCCTTCCCCTTCTCTTGTCTCTCTTGTTTTTTTTTGTCTCTTCTCTCCTGGCTTGTCTCTGCATGTGGCTGGCTCTTCTCTCCGCCTTGCCTGCTTCTGCTTGGAGATGGGGGACGAGTCGGAAGGGGTATGGATCAGCCCTTTTCTCAGCCCTCTCAACCATACGTAGCCCCAGCACCAGTGCCCACCACTGGCTGCCCCTGCTCCCCCCTGTGCAGCCTGAGCCCTCCTGTTGGGTGCCCCAGTGACACCTCGCTTCCCTCCGGGGACAGCCGGGCCCCCAAACAGCTCCTGGCACACCAGGTCTGGGACCACTGGAGCATCCCTCCTGACTCGGGGCCCTCGCTAGCACACGCCGCTGCTTTTACAGAGTGTCCTTGATGGAGCATTTTAGGGGACCCCTGTGCCCTCAGCGTGCTGGCCCCTGCCCCTGCTGATGCCCCTTTTCTTCTCTTGCAGCTGCGAAGTGATGTGGGAGGCAGCCCTGCTGTGAGTGTGCCCTCGTGCCCAAACCCCTCTCTCACCCTCTGCCTCCTCCTCCTCCTCCTACTTCTTCTCCTCCTCGTCCTCCTCGTCCTCCTCCTCCTCCTTCTCCTCCTTCTCCTCCTCCTCCTCCCCC